CAATTGTGGTTTTCACATGCTAGTGAGATACCCAGTGTGGGACAAAGAACTCTGAGAACCAGTGCTGTTGGGGATGCATGGAAAAATATCTGAATGTATGAAAGATCCCTGCTTTTACTCTCAATGTTCAGATTGTCTTCAAAGGTAAACTCAGCAATGCATTCATCATTGATTCCTGCCCCAGTGTATGATTCACCTTGTGAACTACAGTATTCACTTTTTGGTATATAAAATCATGCTAATTTCAAACTGACCTAATAAGCTTTTAGCACCCTGGGCTGGAGAGAAGGAGGATTGCATTTAGTCWCTTGAAAGTCTCAGTCCTCTGCTCAGCACTGGGTCTTTGGCAGCTGCAGAACTTAAAAATTGTAGCCAGTCAAGTCTTTCCTTAAGCAAAAAGTAGCTGGGAATTGAGGGTGTCTTGGCAAAGTCAAGTGACAGATTGTATTATACTTTTTATGTTTACTAATATGCTTGCTATGGTTTCATTGCTGTATTGAAAAAGAACAGGAGGAGGCAATTAATGATTTCCTTTTCAGCTGTGCAGTAATGAACTACATGAGAAATATTTTGATATCGTGAGTCATTGGTGGCCATGGAGAAAAACATACTCTTTAAGCCAAGCTTTTAAATACTTTTTTAATTGAAAGAAAACAAAATATTTTACTGGCAAGTCACTTGCTCTTCCAGGTTTATAATTTTAACAATGAATCAGTCTTGGARAACATAATTTAACTTGCTTTTATAACCAGTAGTAGTGTATGAATAATGTTTGAGGGTTATGTCTATATGATAAATTTCTTTTTTTTCCTTTTCCTTTTTTTATAGAAAGGATAGTTGCTTTTATAAGAAAAGATGGTTTTATCTGTCCCCTTTGAAAGTCATTTTACATCATGCAGTTCATMATTTACAATTAAAAAGCTTGTGCATAAGCAGTAGAAAACTTCCCTGTAATGGTTGATGTAATTTCTCACTAATGTGCAATCACAGCTCAGTTCATACCAATAAGAAAACGTTGAAGTCACTGCTCTAAGGTTTTGTAAAGAAACTTCAGCTCCCTAGTTATAAAAAGATTACACGAATATAAACCATAGTTACTTAACATTTTTTTCCTCTTCTTTTTTCAGGTATTCTCTTGTAGGTCTCAGCCAAAGCTCAAAGAGCAGATTCTTTTTTTTTCCAGGCTCTGAAGCAGCTCTACCAGTTCTGACAACCTGATGGCTCCTCAACAGCACAAGTACAGAGAATTGGCTCAGATGTTGGAGTTGTCCCCTCTGTGTAGGTGGCTGAACYTGGGAAGCTGTGGTAAGGCTGTTTTCTCCTGACTTGCTGCTCTGTTCTGGCCCTTGTAGTAGAACCTTGGGATGCTCACAGTCAGCAAACACCTGTTTGTGCAGCTGTTGCTGAGCCTTTGGGAGATGGGACTTCTTTTGTGCTGTTTCCTTACCTGAGTCACAATGCAGATCTGACGCCTAAGCTCAGATTGGATCTCAACAGGCAAACTTTCAGGGATCTCAACAGGCAAACTTTCAGCTGCAAATATGGTTCCTAGTGACTTTTTTCAGGTGTTCAATTATCTTTTAAGGTGAGGCAGAAGGTATATTTTGTTTGGAGTGCTAAGACTGTCTTTGARAGGCTTAGCCATTCTTCTTGAAAGGAAGACTGTAATCATCAGTTACCTTGCTTGGTGTTTTGCTGCAAAGAGAAGGTTGGATCAAACTTCTGTGAAAACTGAAATTAATTGAGGTGCCTTCTGAAATAAAGGCAAGTGGTTCTTTGGTCTCCACTGCAGTTTCAGTTTGTACTGTGGCAGGGACTAARGTTTTGTATTTGCTTTTACAGCACATAGGTGTAAAGAAATGTCTGTATTAAATATCATTGTATTGATTATGTGCACAGAGATTACTTTGGGGTTTCATAAAGAGGAGGAGAACAGAGCAAGAAAATCAGTGCTGCCAGACGAAAAAAAAAAAAAAAGGAACTAATTCAACTAAAACTGCAAGGGGGGAAGCCAGTTAGACAGAATGTGAATTTACATGGTTGAATTTGGCAAAAATTCTAATGTTAATACTGTTCCTGCTGTGAGAAGTTACAGAAGGGTCTTTTTCTATTATTTTGTAATAATTTGAATTCAGTTGCACATTTTGCCTGAATATCTATGCCTCCCTACACCTCTAGCTCATGGCACAATATTGATAACTCTTTACAGGATGTTTATTTAGTATTGGCTCAGAAGGAAGACTGCCATTCTGCCATTTAATGAGTTAGCTGCAGTACCCTTTTCTTTAACACTGGGGTAAATTTGCAGCAAGGAGGTTAAAACAGATAATTTTTTTAAATCTTAGACAACTTTACAGACTGTGATGGAACACCCGYGGGGTGCACATTTTTATTCTTCTGACACTCTTGGAGAAAAGAAGCAAAGAGAACACAAAAAAAAGATGAATTAAATTTGAAATAAAGACCCACCAGTTCCAGAAGCACACTCCCCACACCACAAATTTAAAAGATAATTTTTTTYAAAAAAAGGAGAAACAGAGCTTGATACAGAAAGCTACGGAATTATCCTCCTGAATAGCTCATCAATAATGTTAAGTAAATTAATGATGAATGGGTAAAGAATACAGGACCCAAGAGAATGGTGGAGATCAGAAAGCAGTGTTTCTGACCAAAATTCATTGGGCTGTGTGTAGTAACGACCAAAAAAAACCGTCTGTAATTGCACATGCTAAAATAGGAGAAACACAAGAATACTGCATAGTATGGCAGGATGCAGATTAAGGAGACTCTAGATATGGTCCAGTTTCTGAGTTTCCAGTTTTTGTATATTATGGATGAGGTTAGAGTAACAGAAAATCAGAGGTGGTAGAAGAGCACATAGTTCTAGAAGACCTGTGTAATCTCTTTTCCAGAATGTTGAAAGAAGGGTTTTATCTGATTGACAAAACAATAGGGAGTCTTCCTCTCATATCTGGCATTTGGAGACTATAGTCTCTGACTGAAGAAAAGCAAAMTTGTTGAGTAACAGAGCTTGGGGGAAAGGAGAACTAAAAAGAGGTGACTTGAGCAATGTGGATTTCCAGACCTCACCAGTGTGCAAAGTCTTGAAAACAGTTCTTGCAGAAAGACTACTTTAAAGCACATACATGCCTGTTTGTGGCCATATCAGATTGGCACTACAACTGATGGGCTGTATAAAAGAGCAGCAGTTTTGTTCTGARCTGCTGAGTGCACGCTTTAATCTCATTCCTATTATTCCAGTCCACAAAGTTATCATAGACAGAGGACTGAACAATCCCCTCTCCTCTTCACCATTGATGAAATGTGCAATTTTGCACGCCTGTTCATCGAGGTCACCAACAAAAGTATTCAAGCTGGGAGAACACAAAGTGGCATAAACTGAAGGATCAACTAAGCAGTAGTAGAAAGGCTTTTTTTTTGTTTGTTTGTTTTTGTTTGTTTGTTTGTTTCTGCTGTTATTAAAATAATAGTGGGGATGTACTACATAGGTGCAAGTGAAACAGAGAGCTTTAGAAAGCTCGTTAATGAAGAGATTTTGGTGATTCAYGCTAACTCTGGTGAATAGAAGATCTGGTTAAACAGAAAGACCTCACAATGCTATTTTGAAAGGTACTTCTCTCTTTCTGCTGTATCCCAGGGACACAAAATTGCATGTTCTCTTAGTTCTGAAGAGTGTTCAGGTCTCTCTGTATAATAACCTTCTGGACAGCAGTGAGGTTAAATCATGCATCCAGCAGTTCAGAACAAAACCTTCACTATTTTGCACAGTCCATCATTTTCACTGCCCGTGTGATGGCATTGTAAAAATCTTTGTAGGACAGTGCCAGGCACTGGGAACAGCTCAGCCGGTGGATTCTGTACATTTACATTTATGTAATGTAAATTTATAAGCACTTTAACAAGAATAAGTACTTTAGCAAGAAGAGGTGTACAAAGGGGAGGGCAAGATGGAGAAATAATTTTAAAAATAAGAAAGGAAGTGAAACAAYCCCCACCCCACAATAAACCAACATTTCATGACAGGGAACTTTCAATATGGTTTAACTTGGCAAAATAAAGGCTGAAAATAAACGTGATTTAATAAACGCAGGTGGGGATTTAAACATTTCTTTTTCCTTCTTGGTCTATAAAACGAAGTGGTGGGACTAGTGAATGGCCATGCACGAATTCAGAGTGGACGCTGCCAAGACTTCAGGGAAGAAATGGTGATCTGTAACATCTTTCCTTGYACGGCCGCGGCAGGGAGCCTGACCCTGTGGCCATGGAAATCTCCGTGCTCATGGAAGGGGCAGACCTGAGCCGTGAGACCCCGCTCAGAGGGCTGCAGGATGGCAGGAGAGCGCCTCGCCCGAGACACCCCACACCTCCCCTGCGCCCCTTTCCCTGCCGGGCACCGCGTTCCGGCTCAGCCTGAGGGCGTCACTTCCCGGGGCGGAGCGGGGCGGCTCCGGTAGGTGCCGGGAATGGCGGGGAGCGGCYGGGAATGGCGGGGAGAGGTGGCTTTTCCCGTGCCCTCATCCCCTCTCGGCGGCCGCCCCGCTCTGAGGCGGCGGAGCGGGAGCGGGGCTGGGGCCGCCCGGGCGCCTCGGGGAGGCTGCGGCTCCTTCAGTTTATTGCTRAGTGTTGAGTCTGAACTCTGCTCCWCCTCCCCTTCTTAAACAAATTTTTTTTCTGTAAATAAGTGTAAAAACCTCTTAATCCCGAATAAGTGTTCAGAATAGCCCCGCAGCCGTCAAACTAGAATATACTGTCATTTCCGTAAGCATAGGGATTGATTGTGCCTAGATTTGCAGTGTGCTGCGTGTGCTCGCAGAAGCTTACTTAAAAGTACTTTCATCTGCTTATTTGTCAAAATGACATTTTTATTTATGTAGTATAATAATAAAGAAATGCTCTGCTATCGATTCTATAGCTTGTTTTTAGTGTGTCTGTTTAACAGGGAAAGGGAACTACCATTTTTTTTTATTCAAGGCAGCAGGTGTAGATGAAAGCTGATGATCACCAGTGTGCATAAATTTCACTTGAGGCCTCACAAGTGCTTTGCAGAAAGTAAAAATGTTTTTCCTTCTTTTTAGGGTGTCTGCAARCAAGTGAACTGACAACTCTGGTACTTCTTAATTCCAAACAAGATGAAGATSCCCTCTTTGCTGCTGAGGTTCCCTCGTTGTTATTTTTCCAGAAGAACTTACTTCACRAACTTTCACTTTGCTTCCAGAGCAGATTTCCTGGGCGTTGAATCTCTTGGGCCAGCGCACCGCTGTCATACAAAATGGATTTGTTCATCAAATGGTTTGAGGAGAGAGCTGTGCCAGCAAACAGCCCCTGACCAGCAAGCAGAGGAACTTTCTGACAGAGAGCACAGACTCATAGACAGACTTTACAATGGACTAATCCAGGGTCATAGAGCCTGCTTAGCTGAAGCCATTACCCTTATAGAATCAACTCAGAGTCGGAAGAAGAAAGTAGCCCAGGTGCTCCTTCAGAAGGTATTATCCTACCACAGGGAACAAGAAAAGTTAAATCAAGGAAAGCCACTTGCCTTTAGAGTGGGTTAGTCCTTTTATGTCTTGTTTAGTAGTTGCTTACATATAATTGCAGTCTTCACCTTTTATTATCGCTGTTGTTTGTGATCTGTCTTGGATTGCTGTTTTTTTTGTGGTTATAACCAATCTAGATTACCACTGTTGTCCAGTGGAATTATGGCTCAAGATGAAAAACGCTTTTGAAAATACTTTAGAACTATTGTTGCATTTTGGGGTTGTGTTATTTGGGGTGCTTTTTGTAAAYGTTATAAGCTGAAACATTAGGTAGTTTGCAGATTGATGCAGATGTTATCTACACTTAGACAGGGAAAGATGTAGTCAAGCAGACGTGGTCTTTTCCCGAAGGTGTTTTCTTGAATACTTCCTGAATCTGCTTTTTAGTCTGTTGAAGGAAAATCACCTGGTTTTTTCCCGGTTTCTGGCCTTTCTTTAAAGCAGCCCACTTTTCAGCTGAAGGGGACTTGAACCTGCTTCTCTTGTAAGCTCTAAAATACTTTTTCTTTACAAAGAGATGGACTACTARTGTGTCATGCCCAGCTGTCATCTCTCATGTCTGTATAAAGGTAGTTAAAAAAACAGCTGGGGCATGGGAATGATGCTAATCTGAGTTTGTTTGACTTGCAAATAAATGGCCTCATTTCTTGGAAAGAACAGCTCTTCAAGGTAAGGCCTTGTTTTTGCTTTTGGAGTGTTTTTTACAGTGAATCTGAAAAAACCAATTCTAGTATATAACATTTTGAAAGTTCTGAAGTGTAATTCATACACTGTAAGTAATTTTTTTTGGAGAGGAGGAAATAGATGTGGATAAACCCAATATTATGTTGGTGTGGGTAGAATGAGAGTGGTGAAGTGAGTGCTGCTGTGTTGGCTGAGCCAAAGTACTGCTTTGTAGTTTTGGTGTAGCTTTTGTTTGCCTTCGTTGTGATACATTAAAGTATGAATTGTTACCAACTTATTGTTGATGGTCTTTGTGAGGTATATTATTTATTCGACTAACAAAATGTTTTTTTCTTCCTAATATGATTATCTAGGGTTGTCTGGTCCTCCTGGTGCTGGAAAATCRACCTTCATAGAATGCTTTGGGAAGATGCTTACAGAAAGAAAACACAAAGTSTCTGTGTTGGCTGTAGACCCTTCCTCTAGTACAAGTGGTGGTGAGTGTGAATTAAAGTTTGAGTYAGGTTTCTAATACCTTGTCAACTACAGAAGTATCTCGTTGGGCCAAGYGGAACAAAATCTGGGGCCTATAACAATGAAATATAAAAAAAAACCAAATCAAGTTTTCATTTATTTCCTGTGTGATTAAAATAGGGAAAGAGGTATAAATGTTGTAATTCTTTCAGATTTCCTCTTTTCCAGTGTGCAAATGTTGCCTTACATTTTTTTTTTCCTAAATTTGAATTTCTTCAGAGTTGTGCAGGATTACTGATTACAGTAATCTGTAACTCTCCAATAAAAAACTGTGGGGAAATTATAGGCTGACCATGCCTGATTTGTGGTGTGTCTGATACAATTAACACAATCATGATTTTGATCTTTTCATAATGCGCAGCTGCCAGGCAGCATCATTAATTTTTCCAGTTTCTGTGCTGTTAGAAATATGTAACTATTTATGAAGAAAATAACTACACCATTGCAATGATGTGGAGCTAAGACAGACTGTGTTGAATGCATGCCTTCAGGATGCAACAACAGAATAGCAAAATGTGACAAGACTGCACCAGTTGGAAGAATTGAGCATCTCTCATCTTTTGGARTGCATTGTGTGTGTAGATCTCGCTGAATCTGATTTACGGTTTGTTTGAATAGAAGGAAAGCAGAGACACATATCAACTCTCTTAAATCGAAAAATACACCATCAAGGCGTATCAGAATGATAATGCAGAGATTTTTCCCTTTGGACAGGAGCAGACAGGATTTAGCTGTGTGGCCTAATGTGTACAGACCTCAAAAACCTGTTCAGGAGTTGCTGAATTCATTCTGACCTAGCACAAATTTGTCATGTTTGGTAGCACTAAGGTCTGCTTATCAAGCCTTTCCAGCTTCTGACAGGTGGAATAACCAGGCAGTAGCGTCCTACTCTGCAGCAAAGTCTGGATCAACTATGACTGGGATATTCTGATTTGACTGATTGTGCCCAAGACATCTGTTTTTGATCACTCATTTATTAGTGAGGGATGGGGAGAAGGGGAAGTTTGGCTGTGTTGCACTTTTGAAATAATTTAACATTRAACATTTAAGGTTCTCTTCTGGGTGATAAAACACGGATGACTGAGTTGTCAAGAGACATGAATGCATACATCAGGCCATCTCCAACCAGTGGGACACTGGGAGGTGTCACAAGGACCACAAATGAGGCCATTCTGCTGTGTGAAGGAGGAGGCTACGATGTTGTTCTTGTGGAAACAGTAGGTATGTGCTTAGGGTTTTCTTYTAATTGTCCTGGTGTGGTATGAAAGTAAGGTGTGCTAATAATTGCACACTTTCTTCCTTTATTTTGCCTATGTTTTTGTACATGGTCACTGGTTGAATATGAATGCTTGTTTTTGCTAGTCCTGTATGTCTTTTACAAAACTATTGCACTTCTGTTGTCTTTGTTTTATTAGTGGGATTTGTTCATGGGACACTATTGGGATCGGTCATAATTACTGTCATTAATGTGACTGAAACTTTGTAGTAAATGGTAAACTCTGAATTTAATTTTTTAGGTGTTGGACAGTCAGAATTTGCTGTGGCTGATATGGTTGATATGTTTATATTACTGCTACCACCTGCAGGTGGAGATGAATTACAGGTATTTTTCTGTTTCTCTTGCTGATTACTATCTGGGGACTAGAAAGAGGAACTTAAATTCAGTATATAGGATCTGAGCAGAAAGTCCATATCAAAATGTTTTGTCTGTTATACTGCTGTTAACTAAGTCCGTTCAATGTAATTAATTTATTATTGCAGAGTAAACTGCCCTGATTCAGAAGATTACTAGGATGTAAACTTTTAATACTCTGTGGCTTAACTTTGACATGTTTACTAGTTATAGATATTTTTGTGGAGAAAACKAGAAACTAAGGAAGCATTTTGATCTGCTTTCTGTGATGAATCAGCATGTCACAGCTCTTCTGGGTGCTCCTGATTTCTCTTCCTGTTGCATTTAGGGCATCAAACGGGGCATCATTGAGATGGCAGATCTYGTTGCCATCAATAAGGCTGATGGTGATTTAGTTGTGCCTGCCAGGAGAATCCAGGCTGAGTACATCAGTGCTATGAAGCTGCTTCGCAAGCGCTCGAAGGTTTGGAGGCCAAAGGTTTGTGCACTTCAATGWGTTTTGTGGGGCTCTTTGGGTCTGGCCTAGGTTTTGGTGGTGTGTTTGGGGTTTTTTTGTATTTTTTACCCTCAGAAAAAGTGCTGGATGAGTTAGGATTGATACCATCTGATCTAGCTGTCCTAGTCTCCCTGGGCCCTTTTATAAAAATTGCATTTGGTTCTTTAGTCTCACTCTGTGCTTGAGATGTGATTGCTGCTGTTTATGCTTCACCTCTGATCTTAAGGTGTGCCCCATGAAACACTGTCCTSCTCCCCAGGACTTCTGCCCTGAGCTACAGTCTCACCACTGGTAGACCTTTTACTGTCCACAGGAATGGTAAAAACTTCACTTGCTTTTGCCTAACTTAAAATGTCCCTTAACCTACTTCTCTCCCTCTTATGACTCAGAAGCCTGTGATTATTTTTGTTGTTTCACTAGTTMATGTGTTTTCTTTATTGGTTTAATTTTTTTTCATTTATCACATAATGAAGATGTCTAAATAATTGGAATTCTCATCCTGTGGGTCTTCAGMTGTATTTTATCTACTGAAGGGTTATGTGGATTTTTAAGGAAAAGATTCAGTACTAATTTTTAATACGTGTATGTAGAATAAGCACATGCATGCACACTCACTTCCTTTATTTATACAAATCTGTCTGTGATGGAGGTTTGCTCTATCCTGGTATTGAAATTGACCCATTAAGTTGAGTTTAAATCAGCTGGGTTGCCTGAGGCTTAACCTTTCTTCTGTAGGTGTTGGAAGAGAGAGAAGCATTTTACAGACAGACTGTTCAGTTTGAAGGACTGTGCTGGATGTCTGAAGTATTGTTAGCAAAATKAATTCCTAATCTGGAAAGCAAAGGCGAAAAAATAGTCAAAATACCTAATTTCTGGCWTATTTTAAGTGCAAAAGAATAGCTACTGCAGTATGCACTTAACTCTACATTTAAATAAAAGAACAGTCCTTTTAGCTAAAGGACTTGTTAAAAATTATTATAAAAACAGCTGGACAAGGCTTATTTAGGCCAAGTACTGTGGATCTCAAGGTCTGTAGAATCCAAATTTTTTTGAGGGGAGACGGGGGTGGGAAGAAGAGGCACAGAAATGCTTAGAGCCTCATGAAGGAGCCTTCCCTCACACATTTCTTAATTTCTATGCAATCTACCTGATCCAGTAATTGAGGCCTCAAGGCCAGTAGCTAAATTGGCTTTTAAAAATTCCTCTGAATCCAACAGGTAATGCGCATCTCTGCCAAAACTGGAGAAGGGATCTCAGATATGTGGGATAAAATGACCGAGTTCCGTGACCTCATGCTCACAAGTGGCGAGCTGATTGCCAAACGGAGGAAACAGCAGAAAGTGTGGATGTGGAACCTCATCCAAGAAAACATGTTGGAGCATTTCCGGAGTCACTTGGCTGTCAAGGATAAGATCCCACTTYTGGAAGAAAAAGTTCTTAGTGGAGTCCTGTCTCCTGGACTGGCAGCCGACCTGCTACTGAAAGCATTCAAAGATGGTCTCTAAGCATTGTTTTCTACTCTGTTCTTGATAAGTGCTTTATGTTAAAATGAACATTAAATACACTTTTTCTATGTGTGGATTCAAATGTTTTACTACAGCAGACATTACTAGAATACCTATCCAGTACTCTGCAAAAGAATTCTGTATATGCAGTGATTATCTCAAATCCAAACACTCATTCAGAGATCACTACACACTATACTGGAAGAAGGTACATTTCCAGATCTTGTATTTGTCCATGTCATAGATCCGTTGATATAAACTGTATGGCCGTGTGAAAATGTGACTGGTTTTGGGAGGGCAGAGAGTAAAGTTTGTGGTGGTGCAGGGTTTGGCTATGGGGTCATCTCAGAGCAGTTGACACTGCAGCTTTCCATTCTAATATAGCATCAGCTGTTGCCAGAACAGATTGCATTTTCTTTCCTCACCTTGAGTGACAGCAAGAACATTGGACTGCCTGACAGCATCTGACCACAGTCTTAGTTTTAAATAAATTGTATATATATAAATAGAACATAGTGGTGTTTGGTCCCTCTTTGGAAGCTGTAGTTAGTTATTATACACTGTGCAGTRGGAGAAGGGAATTTTAACTATCCCAGTTTCAAAATAGATGTTTTAATAAAAGGCAAAATTTATTTAATATTTTTTTAAATGCAGACATCAGATGGAACAAATGTTACCCATGMTGTTTTAATAGAAAATGCCTTTATAATACAGTAATTTATCTCTAAAAGGGTTTTGTGGTTTTCTGTGTGACTTATGTTTTTTGGATTCAAACAGAACAGCCAGTTGTGTTTGGTATTTTGTCTCTTTCTCTTGCAGAAGACATGACTGCTTCCAACCAAAAGCACTTTTATTTTTTATTTTCCCTTCAACAAAATCTGGAGGAAACATTTTCCTGAGCCGTGATCTAGAAAGCCGAGCTCATCTGGTACCTCTAAATGTGAAGGATAAAGTGGAAAAGTGCTGATTTTTTGAGACCTCATCATAAAACCAGTAAAATAGGAGAATTTGTGATTAGATTAATTAATTTTTAATAAATATATTGGAAATTATTATCTTCACAGTTTTGATTCTCTGGACATGTGTATAAAAGGTATGGTGACTTTACCTCAGTTTCACCTGTGTGGCTTCTGGCAACCCAATTCCAGTATAGTAGTGAATTGGGTTACTTAAATCCTTTTTTATCTTCATAGTGTTTGTTTTTCTTCATTTGCCATCCCCCCCCCAGTATGTTTTTTATCATGTTCTCAACTTTTTCCTGCTAAGCACTGTTTGCAGAGAAATAAGAAAGGGCATTGTGTTTTAGGGGTCATACAGTGGAGGCATTTATTTGATAAGAAATTTTGTGATGGTGTAGCTGGTATTAGTGGTTTTCACCACAACAAATTGTCAGAACTTCCAAGGTCTGACTGCTTATTCCTGTTTCTTAATCAGTGCTTTGGGATTGCTTCAATCAGTTACAAAGAAGCAGCAGAAGCAATGTATGTTGAGGCAGAAGCGCAGTGACTTTGTTATAACCGTGCTGAATTGTGAGAGAAATCTAGTGCTTACAGTTTCTTTTTTATTTAAACAGCCTCTATTGAAGATGACAGAGACTGCCCCAAACCAAAAGCAATGTCTTGTGTCCTTTGTGTCCTTTCAGCTTTAAATATTGACTATCTTATGGTACTGTGTAGAAGAAATGACAGTCAGGTGGAAAGTGAATTAATGAGAGCAGCAGCATTTTRACTGGTGAGTTCTCAACTTTTTGTTAGTCCATTTGTTTCAGGTGGCAGTTTTTGAGGTGACCTCATTTGTGTTTATCTGTTAGATCAAGCCCTTATTATGGCTGTTACTTCTTCTGTCAGGGACTGCTGTTTTCCTTGTCTGTTAGACATGAGCTGCCAAGCAAATAAAATAGAACCTGCAGCTTTGTTTAAACTTTGCAAGCAGAATATGTTTTACAACTTGTTCAGTATTTGTTTTCTGGATGCAAATCTGCTGATCTATTCAAGCCATGGGCTATCATTATTTTCTCATTTTGTTGCTTCTTTTAAAGTATTGTTAATTTGCTAATGAACTCCTAGCAGAAGTGCAATGGCCTAAGCTAGTTCTTCGAACTGCATTTTCATCTTAAAGCAGAGCCATAAATGAAAACCAGGTTTGTCTTCTTCATGTGTTCAGTTGTGCCTCATGCTTAAGCAGAAATACCCTTGTTGAAAAGGGTCTTTGAAAATGAAATGGTAAATGAGGGTCCCTGCTTTTTTTTTCAGTGATACCCCTACCAAACTGAAAAGCTATAGTGTGCAAACTGTGAACTGAGCCTTCCATGTGAGGATTGAATAGTTTGTTTTATAGCCTGTAAAATGTTGCTGTGATGTGTTTTGGAGCCAACTGCTGTTCAATCAGTTGTGCAGTTTTGTTTGTGTTCTCATGGGCTGGATAAATGCATTGTCTTCAGAAGGACTGCAGAGCTTCAGCTGGTAGGCTACATCTCAGTAAACAATCCAGTATGTCCCAAGATAGGGAAGAACATTTCCAGCTCATCATTTCTAGCTCTGTGGGATTAAGTTGGCTAAAATGCATTAAAATATTGTTATTCAAGTAAACAGCTTCTGAAAAAAAGATAGTAAACAAATCTGTTGAGTAGGATGTTGACATATTCTTAGTTTCTAGAGTTGTCAAGCTGCTCTCATGTTTAACACTTAAACCCACAGCTATTGCAGAATACTATAGGAAAATAATGTTACTTCACGAGAAGMCAACAGCAAGATGAAATTTGTAGCTGGAGGTATGATAAACTGTTAGACAAATGAGTGTGGGAGGTAAGGAATAAACTCTTCAAATACACAAACTTGTTTCCTGTGAAGTTTTGCAGTCGTCTGTAAGTGTGAAACTTCTCCCCAAGTCCCTGTGTAATAGATGTTGCTGGTGTTTCACAGCTGGAAAAAACAAGTGTGATGAGATCAAGTGATTTACCCAGGACTCTGAAACAGGTCAGTRAGTGTAAGGGTTACAGTTCAATAGTCTTTACTCTGAGCCCCACGTATATTTACAGCCATGTTACTTAAGGTTGAAAAAATGCTCTTAACAAGTTCATGCTCTTGGTGTGACTTATTCCTTTCATATCTAATCTCTCTGTTTTCAGTGACAGGACCCAGTGACCCCTTCTTGACTACTGTTCTGTTGTAATGTCGTGCTTTAAGTAATAAAAAACTTTCCTGTGATATCTAATCTGCCCTCGCCTTCTGTGAATGCATTACTTCCTGTTGTGCATTCTTCTTCATCCTTTATCTTCACAAATATGTCTTATTTTTGAAATCTGCARTGTGTTGGCCATTTGAGATTTTGGGAAATGGGAATTGAGTAAAGCTAATGAATACAAAGAAAAATTTTCTTAATGGTATGAWGTCCCCTTCCTAAAGTTTTCTTAATGTGGTAAGATTCAATTACTGACCTGCTCTGTACTGGTGCAAACATACTTATTTTCCCTTTTYTTATTCAGAGTKCTCTGTTCCTCCTGCATAGATRCACAGTGAATARATAACATTATCCATGAGTTAAAATRAGAAAAACATTTTCACMRAACTTAATGCTTCTGTGACTATTCCTGCTGGATTATTCTAAAACATTTATAATTTGATGATTGATTGAACAAAAGTTGATAAAGAACGTATTTAAGGAAAAGTTAGCAYGTTCCCTGAAACTTAAAATTTGGACAATCATCAGTGCACAAACTGACTAGCAGTAGTATTCCTCTTCTGAAAACCAGTCATTTTCCTTATGGTTTATTTAAAMGTTATTTAAAAGTAACCCACCTACCCCATAATGGAACATTATCAACATTTGTAAACTGAGATAAAAATTTCAAAATTAAAAACTTCTAAGCAAKTAGAGTACATACTTAGAATGGAAGGATATACAGGAAGGACAGACRGACTCTGTTCCCTCCTGTCATATACCATAAGGTGTGGTTCAGCTGATGAGCAAGGAAGGAAAAGAGGAGCTGACATTCATGACCGTTTATAGAGAAGGTACATTATAAAGCAGCAAGAAGAATGCCTTTTTTTCTCTATTCTTTCCTCCCAAGGGAGCATAAGAATTTTCTTGGATAATTCACTGCGAAGCCACAGAAACTCATGTGTCCCACAGTGTTTGCTGTGTGAAGCTTACAAAAATGACAAATTCAGCTCCCTTTCCTGACTTTTGGATTTGTATGTCGTGTAGGATTGATCTGACTCTTGTCCTTCATAACCAGGTGTGTTTGCTTGAAATTATGCTCTAAATAGGGAATAGTTAGAAGCTGTTGTAGTTTGAGTAAATGATTGTTTACTTGTAACAAGTTAAAAGCTTCACCTTTCAGAATGCATGATAAGATTCCTGTATTTTTCCTTRAAATACTAAGGCAAAGTAGTATTTSTGTTGCTTATGTCTTCATTTCCTCTTACATCTTTTCCACTGGTAGAGCAGCCTGTAAAAGCTTTAGTTATCCGCCTTTTAACATGACTCAAATATTCATGAAGTTAATCAGGGACTGACAAGACTTTTGCTTTGTTTCTTCAATTGAAAGTGACTRCTACAACCTAAAGATTACAACCTGTGAGAACCCAAAGGCTATTACGACTTCAGAGGCCTGGGCTGACCTGCCCTGTGCAGGCTGCAATGGCTGGGGATGCGGAATGTATGTCTAATGAGAAGATACTGCACAGGCTTGTGTGGCTCGGAGCAGTGCACACACACACACACTGCTAAAGGTTTTCTCCCAGCCCTGGATCTGTGATCCTGTTTGTAGTTCTCTAATTGCAACCAGCAGAAGACAAGAGTGATGTTGGTTTTTATGACTTGTTGCTTAGCAGCGTTGATCAACAAAAGTACAACCTTTTCTTTTCCTGTAACCTCGGTGAACCCGGGCTTGGACGGAGCTCACCAGYGGAGAACAAGGGTTTCTGAAGTCGTGTGAAACTCCTGTGCTGTGCCTTGTTAGCAGTGTCTGAGGGAAAACGTCTCTTCTTGACCTCTTGGTTACCTTTGCCCTTTACTCCTCTTTGTCTCTCTCRTCAAATCTTAGAAAAAGGAAGACGTGGAGGAT